TTTATATTTGAGGGACTTGATTAACTTATTGTACTTGTATTCATTATTTGTTGAGCAACATTTATGGTGTTCTTGTTGCCCTATTATTTATATCGCTGGCTGATTATTGTTGCAATCATTGCTATTTGTTTCCTATTATTTTTATATGCTATACTGCACTGGTTATTAGACTAGTGTGTATTTTGACTGTACCTCATCACTAATCCACCGAGGTTAGTCTTGATACTTACTGGGTACCGTTGTGGCGTACTCATACTACACTTCTGTACATTTTTTTTGTACCGACCAGGTATTGGAGATATCGGACTCGGACGGAGTTGGAGTGTGATCGTAAGGATTCAAGGTAGAGTTGCTTGATAGTCGTAGTCCCTTGGAGTCTTTCCCTTTTTTTATCGTACTGTCAATTATTATTCGAGCAGTTTTGTATATTTAATTTCCTTCAGATCATTTCATATATTCAGTTAGAGTTCGTGACTCAGTACTACCAGTCTTGGGAGGTTGTATCTTTATTTTCGCTGTTGGTTCGATTATCTTAAAAAAAAAAAAGAAGCTTTAATTGTTATTATGATCGGCTTACTTAGTTAGAGACTAAGTGCCATCACGATGCCTGGGGTGGAATTTTGGGTCGTGACATTCTAGAGTAGTATTAACGTCTTATGTCAGTTAGATGACGTCCTGTTTTTTGTCTTTTTAGAATTAACATAACAATATATAGCTTTTTAAAAATAAAAATATAATAATTCTAAATCTTCAAAGTTATATGAACTTCTTAAAACTAAAAAGGATGTGTAACTTGTAAAATTAAAGTAATAAAATTATAAATCTTAAATAATTTTTATGTTAAATATAACTGAGATGACTGAGAACTCCTGTCGGACAAAATTTCTTCTTTTATTGAGTTAGCAATATAGAATCAAGAATCATCAATCTTAGGAACTTAAAAAATTTTCTTTGACATATATTTTCATGATTCAATTAGAAATTTTATATAATTTTTAAAAAATTTATACTCATTGAGATAAAAATACACGCGCAACGCCCGTATCCTTAAACTAATATATATATATATATATATATATATATATTATAAAAGCACGAATAATTTATGCTAAATGTTGAACGGCTAAAATATCCTTGAAATATTGATAGACTTTTATGCCCTTAAATATTTGAGTTAAAGATGGATTGAATAGTAATATTTAAAATACTACCCAAGAATGGAATTCTTTCCCGATTTAAACTTCACATACACGCCTGTAAATTCTTACTCTACCAACATCGAGAACTTCTAATTCAAGTAAAAAGTGAAAACTTTGGAAATAACTATGAATTTCGACAAACTTCTAACACCAGTCAAGTTCCAACTTTTCATCTTCTGTTTGTCATATTTGTTCTGCTTAATATGAAAGTTCCGTATCAATTTGCCATGGACAAGCACTTTGAAACATATATCTGCACGGAGAAGGACACTTTTGTACAATCTATATATGTTTACTTCAAACAAATTAGACGGTACTTATTGTTTTGGAATATCAATCTTCCGAGGTAATCATTAATTTCCTTCGTTATATAATTTTTTCTCAAACATTATTTTCCTTCATTGCCTGTAGTAGCATTCGGCGGAGTGAGTAACTTACTTCAGCATTTTTGTGTTTTAAATTTGGTTAAGAATTTTTTTTCTATAGTTTTATAATGCGAGTTCTTTGTCAGAGATTAAAAATAAAAGGAACTGTAAGTTGTAACGATTCCAATGGAGAATAAACTATATCAGGTTGGCTTCTTATTTCATGTGTATTATTTATATGTCCTGATATAATGACACTCTTTAATAATATGGCTTTATCATCTGTTGTTGCACTCAAAGGACATTTCTAGAGGCAATTTAATTTCTTAATATCATGAATTAATCTTAAAGATTAACTTAATTTATCTATCTAATGAGAATTTATGAAGTATATCAGCATGCAGTACATTAATGTTGTTGTTCTTTCTTTAAACATAATTTTTTGAAAAATTTGATATCTTTTTTGTTTTGGATGATTTTACGGTTCGCTTTAACAAACCCAAGGGGAATATCAGTATTAATTTTTAGCATAGTTCTGCAAAGTGGGGCTTAAAAGATATCAGTAATCCAGTTTTCTTTTCTACTAAAAAAATTATGTTATCGTATATTATGTCCTTCTTAAAACATATGTATAATAAAATCATCTGGAATCAAGAATTTCACTCTTCTAAAAATTTTATTTTAAAATATAAAAGCCTAAAGCAAGTTGTCCAAAGACCTCACAATCGTACTCTAATATATATCTATATTGTATTGTACTTGTCAATCAATAAACAACTTGCATCACAATCAATATTAAATATTATTGCATTCTTCTACTGATATACAAATTTATTCTATCATTGTGTGATTCTACAATGTTTAGTTCCATTTTGTTATTTAATTTAATTCTTGCAACTACATTAATGAGTTGGTTTATTAAGGAGCTGATTAGCTAATTTTAACAACTATTTTTGGAACACGTTTTATAATATTTGACATAAGATATTTGTGCAATGCACGAACATATAGACTAGTATATATAAAGGAGGGAATGTACAAGGTGACTTGGCACCTCTCTTTGGCCAATGATCCTATTTATCTTTTTTTCTCCTTTTTTTGGTTTATTCCCTAATAACACTAAATATTTTGGTTTTTTTCTCCTTCCTTAATTCCTATGATTAATGTCTATTGCGTTACTAGCCATTCCAATAGCCCCTTACTCAATCCCCACCTTAATTACTCTCTTCTCCCACTCCAATGTATTCTTTAATCTTTGTATATATATAAGCCAAACAAGACAAGGAGAGTTGGCCATTCGTTTGATATTCTATTTGATGTTTTGACTTTCCAATTCTAACATTTTTTTACTTCTTCTTAACGTATTTTATTTTCTTGATTTAGAACTCTTTATCTTCCACAATTTCTGTCACCTTATTGTTTGGCCTCTCATTTCACCTTATTATTAGTACTGTGAATTTTTTTGTCTAGATGAAGGGTGATAGGCTTAAGGTCTCTTAGTCTTATGTTTTGATGATCTACAAACTTTCTGTATAGAACCGGATAAAGGACCTGATGCATGCCTGATACAATCATTCAGCAATGGACTCAAGATAATCTGGGCAGTGTTCCTTTGGATTTACAAGAACCAGTTCAGGGACCTGATCCTTTGGTGTTTCTCTGACAGACGTACAAGTCAACTCTACAGCTGGAAAGCAACTGCAGAAAGTGACTGCCTGCAACTGTGCACGCTACAGTGCAGCAGTCACTTCCCATTAGGAAGAGGTGTGTACTAACCAAGAATATCATTGGGATGTCTTTTGAAGTATAAGAACATGATGTAAGGCAACAAATATTCACTTGTGCAGTCAAGAACAAGAAGACAACTCCACTACGGACCAGTTCCACTAAGAGTCTATGTGTGTCCTTAGTTGAGTTGTAATCTTATTTTTTCTGTTCTTCATTGTAACTCCTATCTTGCTTTCTTAGAAGCTTTGGTTCAGGAAACTCAAAATCATAAACCATCTAAGTTTGTGTTGTGACTAGAGTTAGTCATAGGTTGAAGTCTTTGTAACTAGTGAGTGACAAAGTGGCTTGTGAGAAGTGTATTACAAGTTAGAGTGATTGAAGTCTTTGTAATAGAGTCATTACAAAGTGGCTTGTAATAGTGTAGTTACAAGTTAGTGAAGTTGAAATCGTATCAGTGTAGGTTGTGGTTTTTGTCCCCTTGAGTTAGGATTTTTCCACGTAAAATCTTGTGTCTTATTTACATACTGTTTCAGTAGTTAGCACCGAGGGTACTGATATAGGACCAGGTCTCTATTCACTTGGTGGACTCATATAAACTATCAAAGGGGTTGTTTGAAGAAAATATTACATTTTGGACGATGAGAGTAGGCAGACAAGGTTTTTTCACATATCGGTGAAAACAAGATTTATCCACATATCGGTGAAAAGTCTTCATCTGAAAGGTAAATTATATAAGATAGATATTTTTAACATATTTTTTACTCCTCCGTGCATTATATACATAGCTATTCCCATTTCTAATTTGACGTATGTTAGCTTGTAATTTTTCTGTGGAAACAGAAGCAAATGAAGTCTATCATAGTTGTCCAGTTGAAAAAATAAATTATTTTGTCGAGAATAATTTATTGGAACACCTTTACGACCTCTGAATATTAGCTTGCTGGAAACTGTTTTCCATTATTAGTATTTAGTTCATTATTATTTATTTTCTTAAGGTTAAGGATGGTCCACAAAAATATTATACTATAAATTGAGTTGTGTTTTCGCCAAAAATCTCTGTTGCCATTGATATGAAAATGTGCGTTAATGAGCCATTCGCGAGAGGCCGGGGTTTACTCTGGAAATTGTATTAACTTTTTGCTTACTATGGAGTTCTTATCTTCTGTTGGAGTTTTGAGTCACCGTAGTACACATTTGTGTGTTGTGGGTTTCTTTTTTTTAGGTAATACGTGAATATGTACGTCACTTGACCTTTTTTTTTTTTTGTAAAATTGAAAGATGTAAGTTTATATAACTAATAAGTTGGTATGTTTGCTTTCTTTATATTTTTTGTTTCTTCAATTTGAATAAGAAAACAGAGATACCTATACTTAAAAGTGAAAAAGTTTCTTCTTTCTATTTTAGAAAAGAGGTTTGATAATGAAATATGCAGTAAAATATTTTATTTTCAGTAAAAATATTACCTTTTTTATTTAATCAATATAAAAGAATTAAACATTATATGTATATACAAGAAACTCTCTTAAGTTTATAAAATATTATTTCTAAATTTACTGCTATGGCGGTCAAATTCACTAGTAAAAAGTAAAACTCAAAAGACGAAAGAATGAAGTGAAACAAGAGTCCTACTAGTAGGAAGACTCCTACTACCAGGAAGTGATTATAAGACGAGCTTTGTGGCTTTGGCAATACGCAGCCTTCTCTCAAATTTGCAACCTAAAACAGAGCGAACTCACAAACCATATTGCTAAATTTTCATCAAATTCAATGGAAGATTCAAGCTTGACAGACCCTACCCTTCCAACAGAACTCATCACTGAAATCCTCTCAAGGCTTCCAGTTAAAACCCTGGTGCGGTTCAGGTCTGTCTCAAAATCTTGGCTTGCTTTGGTTTCTAGCCCTGAATTTGTCAAAACCCATCTTAGTGTATCTGCTAATAACAAAGATTACACGCACCACAGGCTTGTGTTGACAGCGGGTGGGAATATATTCAGTTCTCGTGAAATCGACTACTTTCTTAGGGACTGTTCTCTTAGTTCTTTACGTAATGATTCTGTGACTGAGGCATTTCGCTTGAATTATCCCATGAATAAACCCCACAAAAGTGTTACTGTTGTGGGTTCGGTTAATGGATTGATTTGTCTTGCCATTGATGATATTGACTTGTTTCTATGGAATCCATCAGTTAGAAGGTACAAGAATTTGCCTCATCCTAGACCTACAGTTTATCATTTCGGTTGGTTCAAATATGGTTTTGGATATGATGAGTCCAATGATGATTATAAGATAGTAGGTATATTTAGAAATCACGACAATGAAAGGTTGCATCATGTTGAGATCAAAATATATAGTCTAAAGAGTAATTCTTGGAGAAGTAAGAGTGATATTCCCGATGAGATGCGATTCTTTGAAACAGGTAAGTTTGTAAATGGGAAGCTTCATTGGGCTGGGGAGCTTCATTGGCCTAATAATTGGGCTTTTCATAAGAACTGGAACATCATTTCTATTGATTTGGCTGATGAGAAATGGGGAAAGGTGGAGCAGCCCCGCTATGTAGAAGTTGATTTTTGTTTGGAGCTTGGAGTATTGGGAAGTGATCTTTCAATGATTTGGAAGTATTCCGTAAGTCACGCAGATGTGTGGGTTATGAGAGAGTATGGGGTTAAAGAGTCTTGGACAAAAATGTATACTGTCAAATATCCTAGTTATGTGTATTCTTCTTTTATTGATCCAACACTTTGCATGTCAAACAAAGGTGAAATATTGCTTGTGCCTGGATCGACTTTAATGGTACGCAATCCGGACTATGAACTGATCAGATATCCAAAGATTGTCAACTTTCATTCATGTGTTGCGGCGGACGTCTACGTTGAAAGCCTAGTTGTCCCCTATTACAGAACGAACCAAGCACACAACAAAAATTGAAGGCGGCAGAAGCTCAGATGAATGACAATGCTATAGCTAATGACTTGTAAGAGTTCCACGTTATACATTTTCCTGTTTCTATTTCACATATAAAAAAAGATATTGCATATTTTAAGGACATGTTCACACCACATCTGCTTGGAGATCTTACTTGTCCTTTTCCTTTTTGCACATTTTCATGAAATAACTTCTTTTTGTGATAGTTCGTTATTTGGTTGTAGTGCTTGGTGTTTTAAAGTGAAACTTAATAAGGAAGTAATAATAGTTAAGGTCTGCTATAGTATCTAGTTTTAGTGGTTTTCCTTGTTGCTATTGGGTGTTTTTCCTTGCGGCTTGCTGCTAATAGATAACTGCTTAATTTCTTCAGGACCATTTTGGTGCTTTGATTGCTTTTGTTGTTGCTAATAGCTAATTGTTTTTCTTTGGTAGTATTTTTTTCATTCTTTTACTTAGCAATCAAAATCATTGACATGAGCAAGAGTGTGTCATAAAATGAATCTGGCTGCCATGATCATGAGAGTACGGTAGGAGTACCTAAGACTAGGGTAATATAGGAGAAAGAGATATGTGATTAGCTTTCTTTAAGAGGAAGAAAAAGCTTTTGTAATCTTTGTTTTCAAACAAGTTTCTCACTATACTAAATTCTTATCTTGTCTCTAAATAGAGAGGCCAATTGTATCTATAGTTTGACTTTTAAAGAATTCTTATACATTCTATGCTATCTTTCAATGTCAATGGTTTGTCACACTCCCATTGACTTATATTGTGGTTCTATTTGTTGATTTGGCGGCTTTCTAAGTCCCCTTGCCACACTTGTATTGACTTATATTGTCGTTCTATTTGTTGTTTTGCATCTTTCTGAGCCATTAGATTGTGGAGGCTGCTTTCTAAATCTACATTTCCCCTTCTTTTTTTCTTTTGAATAAGTAAATCTATGTTGTTTTTACTTGTCATCTGACGTATCAGTAAGGTGCTTTGTTAACTGATTTGTAGTATTGAACTTTCAGGAGATGAAAGCTGATGTTAGGAACAACTAATCCACTCCTTATTGATTTGCATGGATCAAAATGATCAAGTATGGTTTTCCTCTGTTGTCAAAGTTCATTGTGATGCGTTAATGTCATTTCCATGTCCATAGAGTTAGACTTAACTCAATTTTGGTTGGTTACCGAATTCATTGATTAAATAATGGTTTTTATCGATGATATTCACTTTTAGTTCAAATTCTTGGTAACCGGTATTGTGAAAGTAATATTTACCTATGTTTCCCAACTGCATATCCTATTCTGTAAGTAGGCTGAATCTTAATTTTTTTGCTGTCAGCTAACAGTACCTTACACAACGCTCGATCCAGTAATTATGAACCAATCATTTTTTTACATTAACTGTGTAGTTAGAAAACTAATCTGATCTGATTACAGTATGAGAAATAACAATGTATATTAGTCTTGAACCATAACCGTATTTAAGATATATTCTAGTGCTGTTGATCATAGAAAAGTCGACGGATAGTTTTAGCCCTTTTCCCTTTAATTAATTGCATATCACTTAGGGTCTGTTCGGTATGAAAGAGAATATTTTTCAATTTTTTCATGTTTGGTTGGCTTAAACGTTATGAAAAATATTTTCGTAATGAACTCATTTTCCTCCAACTGACTTTCCTACCAAGAGGAGGGAAAATATTTTTGAAAACTCTCTTTCAATCTTTCCCACCTCTACTACCACCTCCAATTCACATCCTCGCCACCCCAGGCCCCCTAACCCCGACCTACCACCTTGCATCCCGACCTCACCCTACATGTCCACACCTGACCCACCACCACCCGCACCCCTCGGCCACCCTACAACCCCATGCATCGGGCCACCTCCCCTTGCTAGCAAACCCCCCCCCCCTACCAACTACCTTCGGCCCTCCATTCTCCCGCCTGGTCTCACCCTTTCCCTTCATGCTAGCTCACTAGTTCCTGCCACCCCTCCCCCGCTATCGTGGACTTCGCAACCCGAAACACGAAGGTCAAGGGTGGGTGTCAGTTGTCGGGGTGTCTCGGGCTGGGTGTCGGGTCAGGGTCAATGTCTGGTCCGAGGTCTGGGTCCGGGGTTGATGTCGGGTTGAGGATCGGGGTGGTGCAGGTCGAGGTTGGGATTGGGATTGGCATCAGTTTCGAGATCAGGGGTTGGGGTTCGGGATTCAGGGTTCGGGGTTGGGTCTCGAGGTCTAGGGTCTGCGTCCGAGATTATAGTGTTTGCTTACATTATATTAAAATATGCTTTATATAATATTTTTTCGTTACTAACCAAACACCAAAAAATAAGTAAGAAAATCACTTAGCGAATACTACTAAGTTACGGACGGAGAGTTGCCACTTGATACGCCATAATGTAAGAGCTTGTTCCTCGGTGGATATTCACCAAAGTTTGCTTGACATGCTCACCTATTATAGAGACGCGAAAAATAGGCAATCACTAGACGGCTCTGAAATAGGTTAATTACTCAGAACAAGAAAATATTTGAAATGAAATGTCACTTGTCATGATTTATTAATGTTAGGAGGTGCCGATATTTGGATTTTTTTTTATGGCATTGTATTTGTAGCATTGCCTATATGTAGCCGTCGACAACTACTATTCACTTTTGATCTCTAAAGAGATGTATTAAGCATTAACATTTATATGATGTCAACAGTTTATAAGGTCTTGAAAACTAAAAGGCTAAATCGAAGGAGAGGAACCTTAAATGTAAGGGATATAGGTTAAAATTTTGTCACACTTCTTGCTTTTCAAAGGTGCCTAGAGGACGGGTCAGACACAGTCGGCTGAGGAGCAGGTTCCCCATTGGACTTAGATAGAAAAAAGAGGTGTCCTTTTTAGATTCAAAGATATGGCATATAGATGTCTTCTAAAATGGCATTTCTTAATATTCAGGAGAAAAATTAAAACCTTTATAGTGGATTAAAAGATAATATTAGTGAGACTCTCATATTACATACTAGTCTTCGGGCATCCTTGCTTTTTGCAAACATTATGTGCCCTGCTAAGCGCTGGCAACATCTAGCCTACTATTGTACTTCATCTTTTTCAATATTTTATGTAAAAGTGTTTGGCCAAACATAAAAAGAAATTTTATAAATGTGGTTAGAAGTCGATCTGTCTTGAATATGTTATAATATTTTTATGGCTGTAAAAGTATGTTATTTAAGATAAAATAGGAAATTTAAAGTTAAATATTTTAATTGTAGTGAGTGTTTTTTAAGCAGGAATAATAAAAAAAGTATTATATGAATTGGAACAATAGGGATAATAAAAGGGAAATTTTCATAAAGCACTATCTTAGAGTGGTAATTAGCTATCTATAGATACCATTTGCTATATTACAGCCTGTAGATATGTTTTACATTTTTATAAGATGTATTTGATGTATTTAGACTACTGTATTCATGAATACAATAGAAAAAATAGGCGTGAATCATGGAAGTTCAGCTAATCAGTTGTTGTATTCAACTGTATTCAAGAGCCGTATCATTGAATACAGTAACGTATATTCCTTAAAAAAGGGACCTTTCAACTGATTTAAAACGGAAAGGAAATCAATCTAGCAAATAGTCTCCTAATATAACTCAACTAACATAATTATAGCACCTATAATATGTATTTCTCCCTTCATTAAAGATTTTCCATCCGAAAGTATCAAAAAACAGAGCAAATCGTGGATTCTCAATTCTCCCTTCTTTCTTTTCAGTTCCTTTGTTACAGTTCGTACAAAACAAATTTCAACCAAGAAAACTCGAGATTGATATAATTATATACAGAAATATGTTCAAATTCGATTTTGCATATGGCAAGTTTAACAGTGTTATTGCATCATTCTGGAAAGTGGAACAGTGAGAGTAACTACGTCGATTTTTCGATTGAGGGAATACTGATAAAGGAGTATGCGTCGTATAATGATGTGGTTGCGTCAATTTCTAAGCAACTGGACATAGATTTAGCTCAAAGAGCATTAAAATTCAATACAAAGTAGAAGGAAATTGCACACCAATGGAAATACACAATGATATGGGTTTTAGGGTGTATGTAGAGTTGAAAAAAGAGAACGGAGAATTCGGGATGTATCCTTTGTGCATAACAACAATTGATAAAGAAGCTGTAGCCGGAAGTAGTTTAATTCAAGGCGACATTGTCCAAATGGACGAAGCAGTTCAAAGGTATAATTTCGATACAGATGATACCCTTGCCCTTGATGTTTTCAATTCAGGCGAACTAATTGGGGTGTTCGAACTGGACAAGGATTTGATAATTTCAAAAACAACTCAAAGGGAGGTTATGGTTGGACAAGTATAAGGATAAAGCTACATTGAAAGAGGTGATGGAATATTACGCCATATCAGAAAGGTTTCAATTCCGGGTTGATAGGTCTAATGCAATCAGGTTTGAGTGTTCTTAAGTATTCATTATTTTTTTTGTATATTGTGTTTCTGGTAGGAGTTGTAAAGCGTATGTAGGTGTATTTAGGTGTATTTGTGAATTTTCACTTGACCTTCACTGTTGTGCGTTTTTTATTTATTATGTAGTAATAATACATGTATTGTTGTGGAGCATTACGCTAGTACAGAAGAATTGAATGTAAAATCAAATTGTATGTATATGTATTTTTAGCTGTATTTGTGAAAGGTTACTTGACCTTCACTGTTGTTATTTTTTTATTTTTTATGTATTAATAATACATGTATTGTTGTGGATTAAAGTGGATCTAACTGTTTTTTATTAAATGTATTAGTTGTATTAAAATGTATGCTTATAAGTATAGGTGTATTCAGACATGTTTAAACGTATAACAGTGTATATACTTGTGTTGTATACTATTATATATATATATATATATATATATATATATATATATTCAAATGTATATGAGTGTGTTTTTTGTAAGCATTTATACTGATCATATGTGTAATGATAAATTCTTTGCAGCTATGCATTATTATGTATGTCAAAAGATTGTGAATGGAGGTTTAAGGCTTCCAGCATTAACAAATCACAATCATTCAAAGTGAGAGAGTTTAATGATAAGCATACATGTCCGTTGAAGGATAAGGTGTATGAGCAACGTCAGGCAAGTAGCAGCCTTATGGGTGGTATGATTAGGCCCAAGCTTACAAATCATAAGAGGAAATGCACCCCAAAGGATATAATTGATGATGTGAAAACAGATTTAGGTGTGGATGTTAGTTATATGTTGGCATGGCGGGCTAAAGAAAAGGCAATGAATTTTTTGAGGGGTGAACCGACTGATTCATACAATAAATTACCAGGATACTTGTATATAATGGATATGACATATCCTGGTTCTCACATTAGAATGGTAAAATCCCCACAAAATGAGTTCAAGTATGTGTATATATCCTTGTATGCTTTATAAAGGGGTTCGATCAATGTAGACCCATTGTGGTTGTGGATGGAAGCCACTTAAAATCGTATTACACTGGGACTTTCGTCTCGGCCAGCACTTTGGATGGAGCAGGTGAGTGTATGCAATTTTATTTACAGGTACAGGTCATACAATTCCACTAGCATATGGTGTTATTGATTCAGAGAACGATGCTGCTTGGACGTGGTTCCTTGAGCAATTCAAGGAAGCATATGGTGAGAGGGAAAGCATGTGCATCGTTTCAGATAGGAACGAAAGTATCATCAAGTTTGTATCAAGAGTGTATCCAACTGTACTACATTTTGCTTGTATATCGCATCTTTGGAACAACGTATATAAGAAATTCAAAAAGAGCCATTCGAAGTTAAGCGAGATATACTTCTCGATGGCAAAATCATACACACAGGCTGAGTTTGACAGTCTAATGGAGAAGGTGGAGAAGGTAGATATTTAGGGTGAAGGATACTTGGAGTTAGCTGGATACGAAAAGTGGGCTAGGTTGTATGCACCTGTCAACAGGGGATGGACAATGACCTCAAATATTGCTGAGTCAATCAATGACGCACTTGTGTCAGCAAGGTAATTTCCAATATACGACCTCCTCGAAGAAGTTAGGAAAATGTTTGGACGTTGGAATTGCAGCAATCAGAAAGAAGCTCTACAGACATACACAACACTTGAGAAAAAATACCAGGAGATGCTTACCTTGAATGAGGCAATGTCTACACGAATGACTGTAAG